TGGGTTCAATCTCGGAAAAATGAATCCCCCGACGAGGCCTCCATAAGCTAGCAAATGTGCTTTTCATGGCACTAAAATTCACACGTTGATCGGTAAGCAAACCTCCCAATAGAGATAAGGAGTAATCAACAGGTTCAGGGTCCTCTTGATTTCCAGTTGCAAAATCAAAAGGTGACTCCTCATCGTCAGCCAAATCTAAGTTTCCAAGGAGAATCTCATCATGAGCATCCATCATGTTCAACAGAACCAACAGTGAAAACCTACACAAAAAAGGGTCAAACTAAAATCTCATGCATAAAGCAAGACGCTTTCTCTCATGCATACGCAAGATAAAAAAAGATTATTTCCTGTATTTTCTTGTCGTGTAAATTTTTAAGATTATTTTTATTAATTGTACTGTATTGAATTTTATATTTAATTTTCAAAAATAATTTTTTATGTTGTATGAAACTTAAATATTATTTTTAAAAAAAATTAGAAATATTTTCTATGAAATTAAAAATATTTAATTTATTAATTTAATAATTTTTCATACCTATTTTAGATATATATTTACCCGCAGTATGATGCGAGTAATTTATATAAGAACTTATATAATATATGCTTCTTTGACTAATTGTTATTATTAACAAATAAAATTTATTATCTGACCTCGATGAAAATATATTAATATTATAAATAAAAATTAACTAGAACAACTAGAACAATGCGTTAACATTTCTAAATAATTATGAATTTCTAAATTAATATTTCTATTGTTAAAAATGACAAATATTCAACCAATGAAAGTTGATATGAAAATTTTTAATATATATGTGGTGTTTTAAGTTATTATTTTTAATATTTAAAGTATTTAGTTAATAAAAATTAATATGATAAAATTTTGCCTTAAATTTTTGGTAAAAGATATAATATATATTAATTTTTTATTTCATCTAAACGTAAATTTTTTAGATCTCCACCAAACAGGAAACTATATATATTACAAAAATTAGTTTTAATTATTAAATTGACAAATATTTGTAAAATGAAATGAAGAAGAGAAGTCTTCTTCTATATGTGTCAGTGTTATTTAACTTAACAAGGCATATGAATCACATTGACCTACCTAGAAAATGAGGGAATCCACTTAGAATATATAGTTTACAAAAATAATATATAAAATAAATATAAATAATGAGAATTACTTATAAAATGTAAATAAAGTTTTATAATTAAATTTCGGTTTAATGTCTAAAAAAATCCTATAGTTTAAGTGAATTTACAATTTTAACCAATTCATTTAATTTTTGGAATTGTACATTGTATTTATTTTATTATTCTAGCTTCTGTCAGACTTTTTTAAATATTTACTTAGCTGTTCGTTTGTGGACCCCTTTTCACGCCACATAGGCGTCATGTGTCCCTCACACGTCAACATCCTAAACCACAAAAAAACATTAACGTTGCGGCAGGTTAATTGAAGAACAACCACATCCAAACAAATTGACTAAACAAATTCAAAAGCTAACCCGAAAAAAGTTGCATCCTTAAAAACTCAGAACCCCCCTGATAAACCCATCATCAACTTACAATCAACAACAAGAAACCAAAGATCCATCACTCAAAGCCCTGAAACAACAAAATTCAAAGGCCACATAACAATCATAGCACACAATACAAAAGACATCCATTGATACTCTTCTTTCGAAACTCAATGAGATTGACAGAAAACAACAATTACCCATCATTCAAAAGACAGGAACAAGACAAAAACAAAGCAAAAAGAAAAGAAAATGCAAATAAACAGAGAAAGAAATACAAGAAACTAACCTTGATTAAGAAGTTTTTGGGATTAGGATCCACATTGGTCTCTTTAAGGGCCACATAGATATTAGCATCTATTAGAAGATAAAGCCAACTTTAGTGATACGGTGCGGATTGAACAAAATGGCAGTCCTCCGGCAGTAGACATGATTAAATGAACGCAGTGTTTTTGTGAAGAAGATATTTATATCAAAATTGAGTTAGTTAGTTTGATAACAGCTTAGCTGGCAATTAGTTAGATTGTTTTAGAGCAGTTTGATCAAAGCTCGATTATCAGTAAAATACAAGTTGAAATCTCCAAATATAGATTTCTGACATGGTATCAGAGCTCTCTGAAGCTTCCTTTCTTAATCCTCTTCATCTTCTTCTTCCCATTGTTAGCCGCCTTTGTTGAAAAAAAAAAAAAAAAAGGGGAAAAATAGCGATTTTCCCAACACCCGTCTCTTCTTGAATTCATTCTCTAATGGTGGCCTGAGTTGCTGAACTTTCTTTTCACTTGACATTCTTCATTGTCGACGTAATTCCTTCCATTTTTACTTAATTCTTGTCATTATGGCTAATGATCATCTACAAAACCCCTCAAACCTTATTTCTTGCATCCAAATAAAAGTCCTGCTATTGTTCTTATATATATCACTAGTTCTCTCTGGCTCTAACTATAACTCATGGGCAAGGGCCATGGAAATGGCATTAATTTCAAAGAATAAATTGGGCTTTATAGACGGATCTCTGCCTCCTCCTCCTTCAAATGATCCTATGGCTTCTACTTAGGAGAGGTGTAATAACATGGTGCTTTCATAGATTACCAGATCCTGATCATTCATCTCCTGCTAGCATATCGATCATTCATCTCATGCTAGCATTTAGTGTGATAATCAATCCGCATTACAGATAGCAGCCAACCCCACATTCCATAAGCGCACAAAACACATTGAGCTAGACTGTCATATTGTTCGTGAGAAACTCAAGGCTGGTTTAATTCATCTCCTTCCAATTTCTTCTCGTGCACAACTCGCAAACATTTACACCAAGCCTTTTCCAATCTCAGTGTTTGGCTCCTTTCCTTGAACAATTTGTATCGTTTTCCTCACTCTCGCTGAGCGTGTATGCATTTGTGATGGTGTCCCAAATAGAAATGGCATTATTATTATTATTTTTTTTTGTTTTTGGGATGTTGACGTGTCAGGCTTACATAGCGTGTATGTGGCATAAGAATGGGTCCATAAACGGACAACTAAGCATATTTTAATGGAGTCTAAGAGAGGATAGAATTGCGATAATAAAATAAGTCCAATATATCAATTGCAAAAATTAAAAGAATTGGCTAAAATTATAAATTTGTTTAAGATACAGGTTTTTTTTGAACATTAAGCCTTAAATTTCAATAAATCTAGCCTATTTTTCATTAACTGAAATCTATTTGTACTAATTTTATCGTCAATATTTATAAATACATCTCTTTCAATGTTAGTCACTAAACAACTATTCAGCAATTACGAAGTAAATTTTTTTAATTATTTACCATTACATACAATTGAAAATTCATACTATATCTTGCAAAATTAATTAATTTCTTAAATACTACAATAGGATGAATACAAAGTTCAATATCCAAAATCAATTTGTTAAACTCCCTAAATTACAATGCAATTTTCTTAAAAAAAATGAAATGTATTAGATTGAATAATATTTAGCTTCTACAAGTCATCCAAAAGCTTTATGTATATAATTAAGTACATATTTTGTGATTTTAAATAAAATCAATGAAAAATAAAAAATTTAATATTCTTCTTTCCTTTATATTAATTAAAAAATAATGCTATATTATTATTATCTACCAAAAAACAAGTGTTTCAATAATATTAATATCAGTGAATTTAATCTCAAAATGCTAATAATAATAATAATAATATTAACAAATAGTATGATGTATTAAAAATAATTTTAAATCTAAGTTGGAGTTAAATAGCAAAAAAAAAAAAAATGTTAAATTTATGAGTAATTGTAGATAAAAGTTTTAGAGAATTGAAAATCTCATGTAAAAGAACTCATTCATTTTCATGAGAAACAATTTTTTGCAATCCATGAGGAAGGAGAAAGAATTAAAGACCATGTGCTACTGCAAACTCCAAATGCTAATAAAAGTGACTAAAACGAGGATGAAAATTAATAAATTTGAGATTTGAGTAACTGTAGTAAAAATTAAGAAAAGGACAAAGTCACAAAGGATTCATTAACTATAAAGAATGGTTTTAACCTTTTAAAAAAATATTACCAAAATATCAATTTAAAAAAAAAAAATTAGGGGGGACATTGGCCTTATAATGGCTCCGTCAAGGATGAGTTGGGAAATTACATAATTGCTTTCTGTCTATGAGATTAGATATATAATAAATCAATTGATAATTATCATTATTATTATTTTGGGTGGTCTCATTTTTTATAAATAAAAAATTATATTATATAAATAAAGAGTATTTTTATCATGAATTTTCTTCATCCATGATGATGAACCGATCTCTTGTTTATAAAATCTGAATCATTTTTTCACTTAAATTACTATCTGTAATTGATTTTAATTAATTTATTACATGGGTTATCTCATACATTAAAGTAAATCTAATCGTACGAGATATAATGGTGTCTCTTGATGGAAAAGGTGACTAGGAATAAAGTTTCTGGATTAATGGCTTAAGGGCTTATGAGATTTTTATCATTTGTGCACTCTATTCTTTAGGAAAACGTGAAAGAAATGTTTTTTTATTGCTCGAAACGGTTGCGAGGAGAACCATCTTTTGTTATTGTGCTCTTCTTCTAGTCACCTGACCTGAGGATGGTGCAGTAATTAAAAAAAATAAATAAATAAAGGCCAAAAAAGGTACTGTTTTTGGATAATTTCCAAAAACGTGCTTTGTCAAAGCAACAGAAGTTAAATAATTTTCAATTTATTCTTTACCCATTTTATAACCAAACGACCTCATTCTTCAACTTATTTACCATCTTGCCATCCCCAACAAACTCGGCTGCCGATTAATAAGCTTTGCCATGCTAATTTCATCCCTAATCAAGCCTTGTCCACCTCAGCAATATGATCAACTTGTACAAGCCCATGTCCCACTTGGCAACAACCCATTAAACCTGGGCAAAACTTAAATAAATAACCAACTTACCGAACTGGAAGCAATCCTCAATAGTGTCACAAGAAGACACCCACACATAATAATAAGATAGCTTAAGCTTCTTTTCTGAGTGCTTTCTTCTTCTATTTTGTTCGTTGTACATTAGAATTTCTCCTCCTTCATTGATTATGTTTTTCTTGATATTTGCTATCTCTAATTCAGTTATCTTATATTGCATTGGTATGTGTATCTCCATTTCTCTTTTCCTCTCTCTTTTTTCTTATTAATTATTCTTACCTTTCCGTTCTTGAAAAAGACATTAAGAAAATTTTTCTCTGTATTTGTTTTTTTGGAAAATGGTGAAGGATTAGAGGGAATTCTGGCTTTGGATCAAGGTTAAGGAAGTCGAATTCTGCCTTTGAATATATTAGTCTAGGTCTTGTTAATTTGACAGTTAATTTGGTTTAGAGAAAGGGAATTAATGGAACCATTATGTGAATTTTGTGGGGTGGTTAGAGCAGTGGTTTATTGCAAATCGGACACAGCAAGGTTATGCTTGCATTGCGATGGATTTGTTCATTCTGCAAATTCTTTATCACGCAGACATCCTCGTTCTCTGCTATGCGACAAATGCAATTCACAACCAGCAATACTTCGTTGTCTGGACGAAAAATTGTCGATTTGTGAAAACTGTGATTGGTCTGCAAATGGATGTTCAAGCTTAGGGCATAATGTCCAAGCATTAAGTTGTTACACAGGAAGACCTTCTTTGGCTGAATTTTCAAGAATTTGGTCGTCAGTTCTTGAGGTATCTCCTCCGAATAGTAGTTATGATCCTGGTTTTGGGTCGTCTTCGCTAATTGCTTCTTTGGAGGTAAATGAAAATTCTATATTCAGTAGTTGTTTGGAGCAAAAAGAAAATGAAGGGTCACTTGGATTGGTAATTAGCAAGTTTAATGTTGGATTAGAATCTTGTATGGAGCCTTCAATTGTTGTTCCACAAGATCCAAACAACATAAATTATTATGGAGATCAAACGCCTCTATTGTCCGAGGACTCAAACATGTCAAAGGTAAGAAATGTTTGATGTTAGAATACAATTAGTTATAAAATAATTGAGCATTGGGGTTTTTATTTCTATTTTCATCAATAATAGATTGATCTTTTCTGTTATTTAGTTTTCTTGGAATTTTTATAAATACTTTTGTGGTTTAATTCGTTTGTTGTGTTACAGGATTGCCCCAACTTCAAGGATCTTGGAATTCAGGAAGGTGAAAATCTCTGCGAAGGTCTTAATATGGATGATGTTTCCTTAAACTTTGAAAATGATGATGAAATATTTGAGTCTTCAGAAGATCAAACCAAATACCATCTAGAGAAGGATTACATTTTAATGGAAAAAAATTTATCCGTTACTGAATCTAATGGTCATGTCGAGAACGCTACAGAGGTTCGCTAACTGAAACTTAAAACTTAATTTGGTTTTAACAATCAGTTATTACTACACTCGTTACACATGAAAATAGAACCACATACGCTTGCATTGATGTGGAATGCATTTGAAATTTCATGCAGGTATCTTCGTCGAGGCAACAAGATTGTATCACGTTCCAATCACCTCCAGTTGCAGGGATGACTGGTTTGCTTCCTCCTATTAATGGAAGCTCAAATTGCTTGTTTATGAACCCTAATTGCAATATAAATATCAATCTTGGATTTCCGACTGGGGCTGGACAAGTTCGTTCCCTTTCATTATCTAATATTACCGGTGAGAGTAGTGCAGCTGATTATCAAGATTGCGGATTATCACCGGTGTTTTTGCCCAGCAAATCGCCATGGGAATTGAACTTGGAGACTTGTTCCCCACAAGCTAGGGACAAGGCTAAGATGAGATACAAAGAAAAGAAGAAAACACGGACGTACGTGATTTTAACTCTATTATTTCAATTGATATACTTTTATTCGGTAGAATTAAATTCCATAAAATTGAAAAAAAAATTAAATGAAAATTTTTACTTATACTAAATATAATATAAAATTTCAAATAAAATTTTAGAAATACATTACCATAAGGTTGATTAATGTAATTATAGTTGTTCTTTAGTTATTTCTCGTAAAGAATAAGAAATAATCGAGTTACATAGACCGTTAAACCGTTACGATACTAAACACTTCGTGGTCAAGAAAAAAATATGTAATTATTAATTTTTATTTTTCTTATAATGTTGCAGATTTGGCAAACAAATAAGATATGCATCTCGTAAAGCCAGAGCTGATACAAGAAAACGTGTGAAAGGTAGATTTGTTAAAGCTGGTGAAGCATATGATTATGACCCTCTTGTTACAGGGAACTATTGAGCCGCATATAGCAAAATATTTTGCCCTTGCTTAGAACACAAGGGAGACAATCATAAGGTATGCACTTTTTCACTGTTTTAATGTAATAATGGACATGCAAGGATTAATTCTAAAATTTAATAGCTTCTCTTAGTCAGAAAGAAGCAATTAATTTTATAATTAGGGTGAATATTCATAATTCAATTCAAATCGAAAAAATAAAAAATCAAATCGAACTGTTTATAGAATTAAACGGAATTTAATTGATTTTATTCAGATTAAGTTTTGGATTTTGACTTACTTTTCGAATCAAATCAGTTTAATTTTTAAGATTTTTGAAAATCTAAACTGAACAGAAAATAATTTCAGTTTTTTTCTATTAAAATTAAAACCGGATGGAATCTTTTTACAACTAAACAAAACCAATTCAGTTGGATAAAATTTTATTGCTTGCATGGCAATCTCTTCCTTTAATATCATTCTTCATTAAAATATAGAGAAAGTTGTAAAGAATTTCAATAATGTACTAATTAAATTTTAATTGCAGATGTTGAATGTTGGGATTCGTCGTGGATTGTTTTTTTGAGCTCTAAGAGCTGATCAAATCTGCAGCAACCTGGAAACTACGTCAAGACTATAAAATTAATATTGTTTAAGATGATATTAATTAGTACTTTTTCTTGGTAATATGACTTAATTGGCTTCTTTTGAAGCTAATAGCATTAATCTCACTCAAATAAAACAATTTGCTTCCAAATTTAGCAATCACTCAGTGTTCTTTTTCATTTTATCCACTTAATTAGGGCATTTGTAAAGGATAATTAATCAGCTTCGGAGACATAAATAATAGTGAAAGAATCTTCAGTTTCATGTTCCTTTGCTTTTGCTACCTTGTCATATAGTACAAGTCCTTATTGCAAGTCAATTTTGGAGTTTAGATGATACATTTATTTATTTTTGACCAAAATCAAATTTAATTCACCGATGGAATTGATTAGACTAAAAATAAGTCCAATTTTTCATGCAGTTAATATGATTATATTTAATATTTTTGTTATAAAATTTAATAATATAATAATTTTTGAAAATTTTTAATCAATCTATCTATCTATCATATCTATGATTTATAACATAAATAAATGTGGCAATAAATGGGAATAATGAAATTGCCAATAATATATCCAAAGAAGTATAAGATATCCTAAAATAAACTTAATTATGATCAATTTAAAAAAATTAATTCAAATTTCTCTACAATTTGATTTGATATATTTTATAAAAACTAATTTTTGAAGTAGATACATCTAGATATAAGCTACTCAAAATTTTTAAATTTATTATTTTTATATTTTCTTTTTTAAATTTATTGTTAAATATTTGATATAAATATTAATATATATATATATATATATATTATATATACCTATATATATAATATTATATCTAATTTTTTATATATCTAATTTTTTAGGAATTTTTAAAATTGTTTCTTTATGTTTCTATAATTTGATTGGAATTTAACTTTCATTTTCAATACCTAAACTAAAATTTTTGATTTACATTCTAGAAAAAAATATCATATGAGAATATATAATTAAGAAGATAGATTTCGCAATAATTAGGAATATAGATTTCTAGCCTATATAGTACATCCACTTATTTTATAACACTTTCTTTGGATGTCCATCCCTCAAAGAATATGCCTCGTTAAAACCTTACTAAGAAAAAACTTTGGAGAAAAAAAAAATCTTAGTGAAGGAAAAAGAGTACATATTATTTTTTCTTAAACATGCGTTGAAATACTACCTCATTAAAAACATTTACCAGAAAAATCTAATGGAAAAAAACTTTGGTTAAAAGGGAAAAAGAGTACAATGCGTATTTACTCCCCCTCATGAAAATAAGTCTTGAGATCTTTGAGTTATGTATTTCAATATTGTACATCAATCCTTCAAAAACTTGTGGTAGAAAGCTTGTAGTAAGAAAACTTGTAGTAGAAAGTATTCTGATTAGCAAATCCACAATATCATCACTTGAGTGGTTGAACTTCAATATCATCATTCTTTTTGGAGATCATGAGTAAAGAAAAATTTGGTGGAATATATTTTTTTTGTTTCCTCTAACATATTCTTCTTTCAAAAGAGATGTGCATGTGAAATATTGTCTTCTTATAATATTGTGGAAATTCTTTTCTGAACAGATAGACTGCATGTACTTTAAACATGTTGAAATACTTATCTCAATCAAATATATTCTCATCTTTTTTCATGAGTTGCAAAAATTTCAATGGCTAAAAGAAATAATAGCAATTCTTCGTTTCTTGAATGCCATAAAATAATTGTATCTCTACATGTAAATGAATGACTTATTTGTAATTTAATATTATGTAGATTAGACAAATAACATGCATTTTCACAGTCAATCAAATCTGATTTTGACACGTTAATTATAATATAATTCATATATATCGTTCCATGGAGATATAAAAAAATATTTAACTCCATTCAATTTCTTCATATTCAAGAAGAACCATATGTTGCAAATAAAATTTATAAAAATGCTTATATCAAGTCATATGACTAACAAGATACATTTGCATCTTTTATTGCACTAAGATATGGTAATTCAAGACCAATAAATTCTTCATAATTTTTCTCAAAATTGAAAAATGGTCATTTTCTCATCAAGTGACCTCACAATCATTGGCGTCCACATTAAATCATTTTAATAACTTAGTTATAGATTTGAATTTGTAGATAAAATTCTATATATAAATTGCTTAATCTTCAGGCTGAGGTAAAATTTTATATTCCCAATGTTTTTCATTAATCTATAATCTTTGGAAGCTCTTCAAGAGTTCCAACGATTATAGATTTCCGGTTACGGTTTGAGACCGAACGGTTACAGTTTTAGTTTAGGTTCCCTAACGGTTCTAAAACTGTCGGTTCCGGCCGGTTCTCCAACCGGTTTTCCGGCGAATCGCATAATTGTAAAATAAAAAATTAGTGAACATTTTTTCTTGAAAATTTAAAATTTAAAAATTTGTGAAATAATTTCTAGAAAAAACAAATACGCTTAAAAAATTAAAAAAAAATGTTTGAACTTAATTTATTTTTTCAAAAAATAGGCTTGAACTTAATTTTTTTTTTTTTTTTAAAAGTCTTAACTTTTTTTTTTTTTAAGTTGGAAATTATTGTTCTTTTTTTTAAAAAAAGGGCTTAAACTTAATTTAGAAAAAAAAAATTAAGTTGCCTATGTATCCTCTTGAGGTTTAGAGGAATCAAAGTGCACATATTTCCTACTTTTACCAATTTCACCCATTTTACCTTATTTAGTCGCTATTTCCACCTGTTGATGTTCCCGTTGAGAACTCATCGTAAAAATCATATAAACCTTCATTTTCTTTGACATTCTCTTGTGCTCTTAGTTTGGCCTTGTTCCAATCATCCACGTATGATTGTGCTTTTAGTGAATCGGGTGTCATACTAGATCGTGTTTCATCAAGTATGTTTCCTTTTTGATTAACAGCTTGTTCAACCGCAACAATCGAAACCGGAGCTGCTAAAACTTGTTTTGTAATTAGTGAAAGGGTTAAAAATGTATTGGCGTGATGACTCCACCAATCTAAAATTAGAAAATTATTATTTGCAAAACTATCACCAAACTCGAAAGCAGTGGGAAGCCCTAGGTCTTTTTTATTTTTGTAATAATATACATTCAGCAACACCAATACTTACCCTTTCAGTTGCAAATGATTGATTATTAAATTGAGAAAAATTAGAAGAAGTAGACGAACTACAATATTCAACAAACTACAATATTCAACAAATTCAGTATATAATTCTATAATATTTTTTCCAACTTCATGCAATACTACATTTATATTAACACTATTTTCTACATCAAGATTTAATATTTCATAATAAAGAGTCAAATATTTAGATAAAATTTCAAATTTACAATTAGGTTTAAATACACAAGCAACAAGAAAAAGTGATGGTATATTTGTAAAAGAAGATAACCATTTTTTTTCATTAATAAAACACAATTTTTAATAAATCATCATTTTCAAATTCTTGAAGTGCACTAAGAATGTTAATGTATAGAGGCAAAAATAAATGAGATGTGGGATAATAAACCCAGTAAATTTATATGTAGCATCATTAAAAATTTTTAAAATATCCAAAATTTTTGCACAAATCTCCCAATTTTGTGGATATAAATTAACTTCTTCAATATTGTTAGTAACAAATATGAACAATAATCCTCTATATGAAAAAAACTCATTTAATAATTCATATGTGGAATTCCAACGAGTTGGGGCATCCCTTGAAAAACAATTTGGTCTGTTTTTTATTTTTCTTATAAAATTTAGCCCAACTTTTCATCACTTGGGGATGTCTCCATAAATATGAAATAACTTTTGTAATTAGAGAAATAAAACATTTAATAACTTTTAAACCATCTTATACACATAAATTTAAAACATGGCATGCACATCTAATATGAAAAAAATTTTCCATCAACATTTAGTTCACAAATTGATTTAAGTTCAATAATTGATTTAGTGCTGGTAGAGACATTATCAAATGAAATTCAAAAAAAATTTTTTGTCAATTTATATTCATCTAAAATTGAAACAATCATTCTATAAATATTATTTACAAAATGTTTATCATCAAAAATACGAAATGCAATAACTCTTTTTTAAATTTTCCAACCATCATCAAACCACTGACATGTAATACCCATATACGAATGCATTTGATGGGAGCCAGAAAATATGCAGCGGAAACTACCTAGGATCGAAATAAGTATGAAAGCAAACCACACACAAAGAACTAACTCATTGTAACGCAGATTCGCTCATCGGTGTTCTTTCCAGATATCTTCAAAGCACTCTATAGCCTTCTGCCTTGTGAGCTTAATTGATTCTACAAATTCTATTTTTCTGAGTGAGCAGAAAAAACACAGTACATCTATTTTCTCGAGAGACTAATGCATTTTTTTTTTCTGAATACTCTATTATCTCTAACACTTATTCAAAAAACACATAACCTCTCTTATCTGCGTGGGAAGCAAACGACAAGATTAGTCATTCTGTTACCCACGCGGTTGATATTTGAAATAAAATGGATTATCCCCTTTTTAATTAAAAAATTAATAAAAAAATTTTTAATTAAAAAATTAATCTATTAATTATTTAAAATACATAATCCACGTACGGTTCAAATAATTAAGGTATAGTAGGGATCACAGGAACAAATTAATAAGGTTACAAATTATAATAAGAATCCATACTGGACCATTATATTCTTATTATAATTAATCATAAATTATTCCACTAAAATTTCACAATTGAACTCCTTATTAATTTAACTTTCTATAACATAATAATTTATATTTCCCATATAAAGATTACAGATGCTTGTCAAATAAAATAAATCACTGACAATTTATTTAAATAATAATTTTAATCTTTAGGATTGTCACTTAACTTATTTCATGTGTCGGATTAAAAATCCACTTGTAGAATTTACACAATGAAACCTTATAAGCTTACTTGAAGCAAATCATCATTCTCTAAACTGAGATATGGATTTATCATTAATTAATATTTCACAAATATAAGTTGTCTTTCCTCAATTCATCGAGAATTATTATCCCGATAAACGAAACTCACTCTTTAATGAATTAAAGCACAAAGTAATATATATTTGCTCATATTAATTAAATCAAGATTAAGAACATAAATCTTATTTCTAAAGTCCTAGAGAATATATTTTAAGAGTCAGTATAAAACGATCATTCTCTACTTGATCTAGTTAGGTACATACAAAATATACTAATACCATTATTATAAAATATGC